TCTGGCCCAGGGTCAAAGAGGGGGACGGAGGTCTGTCTGGCTTACACCGGGCTCTTAGGCAACAATGCAGACTGCTGGCTAAAGCCAGGGACTAGGGAAGCCAATGCTGTCAGCATCCCCTGTTGGCCCATTAGGGAGAGGTCCACTGGGGGAGGCACTCGGAGGGTCCCAAGAGGCACACCAGATTGCTTTGCCCGAGAAGTTGTGCTGGGTGGTGGTGTTACCTTTCCTGGGCAGAGGTCGAAGCCTGTTCCTTCCCTTAGAGCAGGGATTTATAGCTGACTCGAAGTTCTAGGAGGACAGTCTTAAGCAGGGGGTAAAAGGAGTTTTAGGAAGGAATGACTGGCTCACAGTGGTAGAGGCTGGCACACCTGTTGCTCTCCCAAGGCCTAAAACACCAGTTCTCAGGTCCCTGCCTGGTACACAAGCCCGCAAACGAGGCCCTGTGATTCCTCAGGATTCCCCACATCTGTACTGTTCACTTCATCTCAATCTACCTCCTCTTGCTGACCATTTCACACTGGTGCTTTGTCTTCCTGCCTGTAACCCAACTTTCAGAGGGCACAGACCTTGTCTTCTCTACTTCTTTTACATTCTCCTCAGCACCCAGCTCAGTGTTGGACACAAAGTGGGAGACTCAGTAACACATGTTTTGTGTATTGAACTCTAGGGCCCATCCAAATTTCTATTATTTTTTTCCCTAAAGATTTTTATTATTTTGGGGGTGCCTGGATGGCTCAGTGGGTTAAGCATCTGCCTTCGGCTCAGGTCATGATCTTGGTGTCCTGGGATCGAGTCCCGTGTCGGGCTCCCTGCTCAGCAGGAAGCCTGCTTCTCCCTCTGCTCCCTGCTTGTCCTCTCTCTCAAAAAAAAAAAAAAAAAAAAAATTAAATTAAAATTAAGTAAAAATAAAAGATCTCACGGAGTGCTTGCATTCTTTCAAATGCTATTTTAGCTTCCAGGTGTCTAACAGAACTTGTTTCTGCTTTTCTTTGCATCTGATTTTTTTAACCTATTTGTGGGATTTTACAAAGTATTCCAAACCTCAGAAATATACCCTTGGCAGAGAGAGGGTTTGGGGAGGGGTCTCCCCAAACCCTCAGGACAAAGTGTGGCATCAACAGGACTGCCCCCCACCTCGCCCTGGGCCCTGTAGGCTCCCCTCAGGCCAAGGGGCTTGTTCTCCCCTGCAAGGTGCCTTCTCGAAGCCTGTGTGGAAAAGGGAGAAGGGAGAAGGGCCTGCAGTCAGGAATCTTGGGGTACAGCCTCCTGAAGCCTGAGGGAAGCGGAGAGAAAAGAACAAGGTGTGCAAGAAAAAAGAACAGTCGCGTTTTGGGGATCGATTTTATTTGGGCTTCTCACAGTGGTTACAGCCACTCTGTCTTCAGAACAATCACAGCACAGGAAATGCGTCACTGAGACTGCCCAGAAAAGTCTGACCAGCGGAATCTTATTGCTTAAAATACACATATTCACAACAACTGACAAATGGTGATGTGCCTCACACAGGAATGTGTTAGCATTTGCAAATCTTCCGACTGTAGCACCAAACCCTCGGCCAGACCAACCCCTTCTTTCTCGTTCACGGGGAAAACCAGATTCAGTCCGATCTCCCCGGCCCCCTATCCAGTCCTCCCGCTCTCTCTTTCCATCTCTCTCCTGGCAGGGGAGTCCCGCTGGCAGGGGCCAGACTGTGTGGCCGCTGGAAACGAGCCAGGCTCCGGCGGCTGCGTTCACTTGTTCTCATGCCTGGAGGGCAGGACACCGCGGTGACCCCCACAGTTAGCGCGCAGACCTGCACCCCACTCCAGCCGGGGAAGGAAACTTGAGAGGGCCAGGATTCATTCATGTGATCAGTTAACTGAAGCAGGATTCATTTTGGTAAAACTTCATCTCCTCTGAGACTTCAGTGAGTTGTTCGGGATTTTTATCTTATTATTATTATTTTTTTTTTTTAAAGGTGGAAGGCAGGGCATCCGAGGGCTGCTGACGCACTCCCACCCACTCTTGCCGCATACCGGCGTGCTTGCGTGCACAGGGCCCCGGCAAAGAGAGGTAAGCCCTGTGGCACGGGCGTCTGCCAAACTGTCCTGGCGATTCTGGGCGGGGCCCACGGCTGGGCCACAGCTAGTCCCAGCTTGTCACTGAAGATCCATCCAATCCAGCTTCGGAAGTCCCACCTTCGCCTTCTGTGCCGAGGGGTTTTGAACACCCCGCTGGGGGCTGATACTGAGGGCCAGGAGGAGCCGAGGGAGGCAGACAGGTTCAGGGCACATTTCCACTTACAGGGGAACAGAACACAGGCCTCCGAGTGTCCACGGAGCAATGTGCAAATTGCAGGGCTGGGTAGAGGAGAGCCTCTACTCCGAGCACAGTTATCTCTGGCAGACATCGGGGTCGGGGTGGGGGGTCGGGGGGGCTGCCATCGACGATGCTGCTGGATACACCCGAGTACACAGTCAGACATTTGTTCAGTAAACAGTAAATGTGTAAAATAAATTACCTTGAGAGGGCCATATCTGCTCCAAGCGTGTGGTTGACGTGAGCACAATGGCTGCCATTCAAAGTATATTCACAGGAGAACAGGGCTGGGGGCTCACACACGAGACACAGACACACACAGGTTATCCAAAAAGTCATTGTACACAGACTTCACTTTGTTCAACATGGATTTTGGTTTTGTGGACTCCAAACGCAGACACTCGTTCACCTCACAGCCTTGGATTTGTCTATTTTTGTACATATATATATATTTTTTCCCTTTCTTACTGTAACATCAACGCCTAATGTGAATATCATCGTTCAAGAGTGGGGGGAAAACCAAACTCTTCGTATGAACAGCACTGGACAGGGAATGTGAGTTTTAGCTCTTTGCTTTCTCCATCAGGTTATTCCTATCAAAGCTCGACTGGTTATCTGAAGCCAAACCACAGTAATAAGGATCCCGCGGTCCTTCCGGACCCCTGCCTTCGCCCTCCTACCTGGGCCACTCAGGCTCTTTATGGAGGCTACAAAAATCAGTCAGCCCACTCAAAAAGGGGGCTGCAGAGGGGTCCGGGAAGGGCATGAAAGCCACAGATAACCAAGCCATTTTTTTCCCAAGTGGTCAGTTTAAAAATAAAAATAAAAACAACACAACAGAAGAACTTATTCAGAATCAAGAGAAAATACTGTGTAAAAGCCAGGCCATGGGGCTGCCCTTTCTTAGGACCCACAGCCCTGCAGACTGTGTATTGGGTGGAGAGAAGACCCTGGTCACCTACAGGCACAGCCCGAAGGGTAGAGATGCGGCAAGCTACACCAGATGCTCCCCCACGGCTTGGGCTCTGCTGTGCGCCCACGGAAGTTCCAAGAGAGCCCCCACCCAAGCCTGCACACAAAACATCTCCTCCCGGCTCAATAGCAGCCAGGCTCTTTGAAGGTCAACTTGGGATAGAGCCACAAACTTCCCTTTTCCAGAACAGAATTCTTGCCGGCCCGCTGGTCAAGTTCTTGTTTTCAGCTTGCTGTTGCTGTTACTGTTGTTGTTGTTTAAGGAAAAACCAAAAAGAAGGTGATAGAATGTTCCACCCTGAACCAGGCTGTGGCCAGCCAGAACCTGCTGGGAAGGGCCCCTCATGGATGTACAGTGGTACATCGAACCTCATGACCAGGAATTTGAGGGAGCAGTAGGCCTCCTATCAACCTTGTGAACTGCCTGTCTGCTCTCATCCTCCCCCAGGACTAGCCTAGTTCTGTCTCAGCAGACCTTGGCAGCAAAGGGTGACAATCCCTGGGCCTCTGCGGGCTTCCTTCTTCACCCAGGGCTGAGCCCTGCCACCTCTCCTGGACTGAGACACAGAGAAGTTCTCTTAAACCAAACACCAGAGCACAAATCCACTCCACCACCAAGAGTCACCTCAGGGCACAGTCTCGGCCTCCTCCGTGGGGGCCTCTGAAACACACATCTCTCTGACCCGGGCAGGTAGTGAGATACGACTCGAAAAGAGAAAAAGGGGACAGGGTCGGGTATGAGGAACGAGTCAGAGAATGAGCCACCCTGTCGGCCCTCCACGACACTGTGCTCCTGTGGGCGGAGAGGCCTCCACTCCCCAAGCGGTACCTGGAGGTGCGGGAAAACGCAGGACCGGTGGGGAGGGGGCGAAGAATGCAGTGGCGGCACCGCTTTCTCTGAAAGTCATTTAATGCTTCTCTCCTGCTGCTCCCCTACCCTGGTTGCTTTGCCAAGTTCTCCGGCACGGGCCGGGCCTGCTCTAGCTGGGGGAGCTGCTGCTCTGCGAGTTCGGGGAGTCCTGCTCATTGATGGTATTCAGCAGCAGGCACGCGGGGGGCCGTGGCAGGTGGGGGTGCCCGGGCTCTCGGGCCTGCTCCTCGGAGGGCTGGCAGAGGCCTTCCTCCTCGTCACCGGGGGGCCGCACGTGGCAGCTGTCGCAGAAGTCCAGGGGCCCATCCAGAGCATCGTCAATGAGTGTGTTGAACTCCTTGAGATCATCGTCGTGGTGGCCTCGGCTGCACACACACACCTCAATGCCCGAGTCACCCGTGAAGCGGCGATGTCTGCCGGGCGTCTTGTCTTTGCTATCGGGGAGGGCGCCACCCTGCTCGGAGCTGTAATCTCTCAGCAGCTCCTCCTTACAGTTGGAATCTTTGTCCAGGAAGGCCCCAGGGTCCAGCTCCCCCAGGCCGGCCACAGAGCCACTGGGCTCCATTCCAGGGGCTTTGGTGGCTGCTGTGCTGGCGGGCACGTCAGAGGGCTCAGGGTCAGCGATGCTCGGAGGTCTGGTGCTGCTTCTGCTGGGCCCAGACAAGGGGCTGCTCTGCGCCCCCTGGGGACCCCTGGTGGGATCGGCGCCTCGGGGGCTGCCGCCAGGGGGGCCACACTGTGTGGGCAGCTGCTGCTGCTGTAGCTGGAAGGCACTGTACGGTGGGGGAGGAGTCGGAGGTCGGTTCACCACTTCCTCATAAGGAGGTAGTAAATAGTTTGGCAAAAACCCTAAAACGGGGAGGCAGGGAGGAGAAATTACTGCACTGGCAATTGTTCGAGAACAGCCTGCAAAGCTCGCACTCAACGTAGGTCTCTTCCCACCCCCAGTACACCCACGGGGGAGCAGGGGCTGGCTCCAGCTCTTGCTCATGGGCAGGGCACAGAGGTGTGGCAATTTTGTGCAGAAAGAGGGACAGACTGGGAGTGACCTAATCTAGCTCCATGAAATCCGAGAGCCCCTGAAGCTGCTTCACAGGCAAGACTTCTGCCCATCTGGAGGTAAGGCAGAGGGTTATGCAAATGGGGGGGTGGCCAGGAGATCATTTCTGCCCAGAGCGTATCGGTTTCCACATGCCCCGGAGTCTCGTGTTTCTTGCTCAAACTGTGTCCTCTGCCTGCGTCCCATAGGCCTCAGGGTTAGGGATCCTAATTTAAGACTCCCTGACCGCCTTTTTCTTGCCCGCCCTCCCCCTTCCAGATGTATGGACCATGAAAAGGCCCTTTTTCTGGGAGGTTGGAAATCTGTGCTGTCCCTCACTTGAGTGTGTATGGAGATGGTCTGGAAAGACAAACCGAACTTCATCCTGACTCAGATTATAAGCCGGTGGGTTACCAGTGAAGGGTGAGGGGCCTGCCAAGGCTTATTATCAGCCTGCCAGGTAAGTTATCTTTTGAATGTGCTGAATGTCTCAGGGCACACATGGTCTGGTTATAATAAGAACTGCTAGCATTTATTGAGCACTTACTATATGCCAGGCACAAGCTAAACACTTAAAACCCTTCTAGATGTGGAATTCCAGACCTGTGAGCACTTTATTCTGTAGAACACGTGGCAGAATGGTTTTAGGACAAGATGGACCTCCCTGGACCCTTTGAGGGTCATGTGTAAGGAACCCTCAGGGAAGTCAGGTGAGTGTCCTTCAGGGAGTCGCTGAAGTTTCTCGGTTCCCGGGACATGCCAGCATGACCCCCCCCACCTCCTGCCCCTTTCATGGGAGCTTTTGCTCAGGGATGTCACAGGGCGCTAAGTAAAATGGGAGAATTTCAAGCCACAGGCATCTAAATCTTGGTTCACTCACATCGTACACCATCTGACCACCTGCCTTAAGGAAGGCATCAGCTAAAGCATCAGACACCCAGTCAGAACCCAGCCAGGGTGGGGCCAGAACAGCCCAGTGGCTTCAGGCTGCCCCGCCCACAGCACCAGCTCCTCTGTGCTACAGGTGAGCGCCCCTTGACTCCCCGACCTGCGCGACTCCACACTACGCTGGGGGAGGGGGCCCGGGGGGCCCACGGTCTGGCGGCTTTGGGTATACGTACTGAAATAAAAGGGCAGCGCTGAGTAATTGTGGGCTTCCCGGTAGGCAATCAGGTTGATTTCATGCTGCCGCTGCTGGGCCTGAAGGCGATGCTTGGCTCGGCGGTGGTGGCACACGCAGCAGCAGCTCAGGATGATGATGATGGTCCACACCAGCCAGAACCCTGGGGGCAGGGAGGCGAGGCAGAGAGGCACACAGGCGCCGTGAGCACCAGCCAGAGCAGCGGCTTTCCCAACACAGCAGTCCCCAGATGGCGCCCACCTGGTCCAAGCTGGCACTGTTAGGCCTCCCTGGGTGAAGCCACATTGGGAACCCGTGTTCAGTTTCTAGAAATGTTCGTGCCCGAGTGAAAGATGGGATGGGAGAGGGCAGGAGGCCCCTCCCCAACGCCACTCAACCTAGGTTTCGGGTTTGGCGAGCATTAAATATGCTCACCTTTTAGGACAACATCTTTGTCCTCTCTTAAGGGATCTCTGAGATAATGATTCTGGCTTTCTGGTTACCCATCTCCCACCCCTCCCCCAAGCCCTGCTCAAGACCTTAAGGCCAGCTCCCAGCCTCGCTTCCTGCTGCTACCCCAGGCTGCTCACCAAAAGCAAAGGGCCCCTCAAAATCCCAGCAGATTAGCAACTGCAAGGGGCCTTATGGGGTCTCCTGATAAAGGAATTCTTAGGGTTCTCTTGATATCACCAAAAAGATCATGGGTTCTTCTCTACCACGTACACTGGTATAACCCAAGAGTCACTCAAGTTACAGGTGGAAAAATTCTAATTGCCTCAGGTCCATCTCTTCCCTAGAGAGTGTAAGTAAATGACTTCCTCCGCTCATGATATAATCTGGTACAATTCCATCTCCTGCAGTTGCAAATAACACTCCCACCTCCCTTTGGGCTGTGATTTCATTAGACTCAGGGCCATTAGCAGGCTGCCCCTCTTTCTTCTTGCTCCAGAGAGGAGTAGGTAAGGGAACAGGGGAGAAGGCCCACAGCCCTCTCTTCTGCAGGCAGATTATTTTTTTCTCATTTCCCACTGTGTTCTTGGATCATACTCAGAGAATCTTGACAGACCCCAATACAAGACGCCCGCTCCAATCTTCAATTGTAAGCAAAAAGTCCTTTAAAATTTTCTTAAATCAATGAGCAATTCTGCTGTTAAAAAAATACATATATATATACATATGGAAGAGACTGGAAGGAAAAACACAAAAAATAGTGACTTATCTTTAAATAGTGGGATTATGAAAAATTTCAGGTTCTGCCTTCAAATTATAAAACTGGAAACAAACTAAATCAAACTTAAAAATGCCTATGACTAGGGGCGCCTGGGTGGCTCAGGTCATGATCTCAGGGTCCTGGGATCGAGCCCCACATCGGGCTCTCTGCTGAGCAGGAAGCCTGCTTCCTGCTCTCCCACTGCCCCTGCTTGTGTTCCCTCTCTCACTGTCTCTGTCAATTAAATAAATAAAATCTGTAGGGGCGCCTGGGTGGCTCAGTGGGTTAAAACCTCTGCCTTCGGCTCAGGTCATGATCCCAGGGTCCTGGTATCGAGCGAGCGGACTCTCTGCTCAGCAGGGAGCCTGCTTCCTCTTCTCTCTCTCTGCCTGCCCCTCTGCCTACTTGTAATCTCTGTCTGTCAAATAAATAAATATTTTTTTAAAAATCTTTAAAAATAATAATAATAATAAATTTCTAGATAGGTTTTGAAATTCCTCTGGGAATGTACTCACATAATGAAACGACATGAATCATTAAAAAATATTCACAGAATACTACTTCTGACATATAAAGATGTCTCTAGTATTAGAATGAAAAAAGCAAATTACAAAACAGTATAAAATATAATCCTACTTTTTTTTTCTTAAAAAAAAAAAGCATACATAAACATCTAGAGGGATGGTTAGGAAGTTAATCATGGGGCTATTCCCGTAAGACAGAACAGTAGAGTTTCTGTACCAGATCCCCTTTTTTTTTTTTTTCCTAATCTGCATTTCTTTTTATTTTATTTTATTTAACAGAGAAAGAGAGAGAAGCAGGCTCCCCGCTGAGCAGGGAGTTCAAGGAGGGACTTGATCCCAGGACTTTGGGATTATGACCTTAGCCGAAGGCAGATGCTTAACCAACTAAGCCACTCAGGCACCCCCATTTCTAATTTTTCTAAGATGAACATATACTTCTTTGAAATAAAAAGAATCCTTTTTTTCTCAATAAAAAATTTATCTGAGGAATAATTTTAAGGTGAGTTGTTACTAAGTGAGAACAGATGGTTGCTCATTTGTTCTCTATTCCTGAATAACTTCAATTTTTTCCCATTACCAATGCTACATGTTTTTTTTTTACTATCTACTTTGTAATTATAAATTTGTGGTTAGAATTCAAGTATTTCCACGTGTCTCTTGTCAGAATCATTTTGTCAATCAAATGTCAAGATCATTTTTTAAAAAAGAAGAAAAAGCCCCGGGACACCTGGCTGGCTCAGTTGGTGGGGCATGTATGTGACTCTTGGGGTTGTGAGTTCAAGCCCCACATTGGGTGTAAAGCTTACTTAAAAAACAAAACCAAACCAAATCCACATTTCCCTCATACAGCCTTATACAGGAATAGTCCTCTGATTTTTTTTTTCTGTTTGTACCAGAATACAATATTCTAAAAGATCGCACTGACATTTAGGGTGTGGGCTCGGGCAATGGCTTTTTCTGTCCCCCAGGGGTGTTCCTGGAGACTCTCCCCACAAAGCCACCTCTACAGAATGAGACGGGATGGCAGTGCAGCCGTCTGGCCCTGGCAGGCTGACAACACCACTGTAGGGCTCCTGACTGCTCTAAGCCCGTTTCAGTGTGCACTGGAACCTTCTGCAGAGGCCTGGCAACAAGAGGACAGGCAGCAGATTTCGTCCCTTTATCCCTTGGCAGACAGAAAAACCCCAGTTCCTGGCTGGTTCAGTCAGTAGAGCCTAGGTGACCCTAGGTCTCAGGGTTATGGGTTTGAGACCCACATAGGGTGTAGAGGTGACTTAAAGATAAAATCTTGGGAAAAAAAAAAAAATAAGATCTGACCAGAGAACATGTATGTTAAGTTGAAGTCAGAAGTCTCCCTTGTGGTTCTTACCAGATTCGCTGTGGACCTTTGCTTAATTTCACCGACATTTCTCTCCTGTGGCTGCTGGCTGACTGAGGACTAGATAAATACTGTCACAGGGGCCCTCCGAAGTGGGGCTGAGGCCAGAAAGGAGCTCTGGGAGCCAAATGGCTCCCTGTTGCTGTCCTGTAGCAGGCAGCACAGAGAAGCACGCTGCGCCCGGCTCCAGATCTATCTGAGAGTCCTGACTAAGTGGTTCTGGGCTCACCACTCTTCCATGGTCCTGCATTTCTCTCACTTGCCCAGCATAATCTCACAATCCTTCGTACCTCTGTCGTGTTCAAATTTGAAAAAGTACATTCTCCCGAGAGATGACTGCATCTGGCTCGACTAGTTTTTACCTCCCAAGTCATTTTTTCAGTAGTTTCTTACCTAAAGGTAAACCAACTTTTAACTTTTATGCTGCAAGATAAGCGATCGAGGGGCAATATTTCTCATTTTATAACATGATTTTCTTCTCTTTTTTTAACGTTTTGTTGTTGTTTTTGTTTGTTTGGGGTTTTTTTTTTGTTTGTTTTTAAGTAAACTCTACCCCCAACATGGGTCTCAAACTCACAACCCTGTGATTGAGAGTGGCACTGCTCTCCCGACAGAGCCAGCCAGGTGGGATTTTCTTTTTAAACACGCACTTTTGGGGCACCTGGGTGGCTCAGTGGGTTAAGCCTCTGCCTTAGACTCAGGTCATGATCCCAGGGTCCTGGGATAGAGCCCCAGATCAGGCTCTCTGCTCAGCGGGGAGCCTGTTCCCCTCCCCCCACTGCCTGCCTCTCTGCCTACTTGTGATCTCTGTCAAATAAATAAATAAAATCTTTAAAAAAAAATAAATAAACACACACTTTTAACGAGAAAAAGCTCAGGTACTAATTCTCATGTTGGCCACATATTTCTGGTTTTCCCCTTCTGGGCATTTGGGTAGGCTTGACCTTCATGGCTCCCTTATGATTGGGCACAGCTTCGGGACTGGTTCTAACTAACGAACAAGGGTTGGAAGTGACTTCTGTCACTTAGAGACCGGGATATCTCTTGTTTATGTAAGACCTTCCTTCCTTTAGTCCTCCTTCTACCGTGACAGTCAGCATTATTCCAGACACAGACTTCGGGATCAGTCTGGCATCAGGATGATGAGGTGGGAACCAAGCTCCCATCCAACCTGCGATGGACATAGAGTGTGAGAAGTAAACATGTTGTTTCTAGCCACTCAGTTGGACTTCTTTGTCACTAAGTTTGACCTATAACCTATCCTGACTAACACGGTGTCTTTATAGGCTTTTCTGGGGGAAAGGATTGAAGCATTCATTAGAGTTTTAAGGGAATTCTTGTTCCAGAAAAAAGGCTGAGATCCACTGAACTGGAAGTATAATAGAAAAAGAGAGGTTTGGTTTTTGTTTTTTTTTTTTTTTTAAGGAAAAATTAGGCAGGGCAGAAAGAGACTGGGGGAAGAAATGAGACAACTGGAATACACACCCTTGGCAAGACTGCCTTAGTCATAGCTAAGAGAACCACTCATGTGTTCACTGAAACTCCACCACCTTACTTTTTAACACAGTATTATGGGTAGAAAAACTCTCCCCACTATGTGCCAGTTGTATGATGTTATATTTATCTAAGTCTCAAACTAAGTTCTAATTTCATTTTTTTTTCTTAAGTTTTCGTTGATTTATTTATTTATATAATCTAACCTCTACACCTAATGTGGGGCTCAAACTCATGACCTTGAGATCAAGGGTCACATGCTCTTCCGACTGAGTCAGCCAGGTGCCCCTAATTTCTTCCTTTTTTTTTTTTTTTTTTTAAGATTTTATTTATTTGTCAGAGAGAGAGGGCACACGAGCAGGGAGAGTGACAGGCAGAGGGAGAAGCAGGCTCCCTGCTGAGCAAGGAGCCTGACCTGGAACTTGATCCTAGCACCCTAAGATCATGACATGAGCCAAAGACAAATGCTTAACCCACTGTGCCACCCAGGAGTCCTGTAATTCCTTCATTTCTAATATGCTACAACAAAAGCTTATTTGTGTGGATCAAAACTGAGGGAAAACTAACTTGGAAAAAGAATGGGTCCAGTGGCAAGACAGAGTGTTAGCACAGGCCAGAAAAGACCCTTAATGAGTTGATCCCACTTGATGGAGTTAATGTGGGAAGGCAGAAAGCATTCTCGTCTGGGTCCCCACAAAATGGACTCTCCTGAAAGCCATTTTAGTCAAAGTAGTGTCCCACCAAGTTTAAAAGGAATAATATCCAGACTAGCCCCCTATGGAGTCCTACAAACTTTTGATCTTTTCCCTAGATCTTACAAACAAGGAACTAAGTTTAAAAAAGAAAAACCTAATGAAAGAGACACACAAAAGCACACCCTCTTCTTCCTCAAACACACACCTACCCAGAGATTACATTTCCCAATGACAACTTTGAACATTGTGACCTCATGGTGGGGAGCATTTGTCATGCTAAGCAAAATAGAAAACATGTTTTGAAAAACAATCACAGCCCACTGTAGGAACTGAGTCATGTGCCCTGAGTTCACTATAAACTTGGGAAAATACCACTCCCCAAATGGGCAGGAAATTCCTCATTAGGAAGCCAAAGCACACTGTGAATTAGCTCTCCTTCTACCCCACAGGATGGCGGGTGACCTCCCTGGCATCTTGCAGCGCTTAGAGGAGCTTCTACCATTGCCACTATGGAAAAGGCCTGAATTCGGGAAAAGAAGCCCACGAAAGGCTTACAAGTTCAACTCAAAGACTGGACAAGCTTCTTAGAAGCACGACTGTAGATTATCAAAGAGAAGAGGCAGTGACCTGGTTCAGATCGCAGCTCACAAAACCACTGCCTAGCTTTGTGACCTTGGTCATTTTGTTTTCACTTCCCTCATCTGTAAAACAGGGAGAATAATGATTTCTACCTTACTAGTCATTGTGAGGTCCAAATGAGTTAATACTCAGAACCACGCCTGGCATATGGTAAGTGTCCTGGATTGTTATTACTACTGTTGTTACAGGTGTGACCACAGATGGGAAGGGTTTTTTTTTTCCATTTCTCTTTAAATTCTCCCCAAAAATACCCCATTAAAAAAGCAAGGATGAGAAACAAGTCCAAGTCTGCTTCTAGGTTCTGTTCCTTGCTAAATTCATTGGAAAACCAGCCCGAGTGCTACTGATCAACCTATCCTTGTCCAGAGAAGCCTGGAATTACAGGAACAGAGGTCCAATCACAGCTTAGAAGAAGGCCCCAGCCTTCCACTTTCCACTCTGCTAAGGGTGGCAAATGCTCTGAGCTTTTGTTATGAGCAACTCAATAATGGACATCTTAGGATAAGCTAAAAAGGAAAAGTTAGCAGGTGAAAAACAAGCAGGGCAGTCTCAAATGAATTTGTTCACAGTCTGTTTCATGCCACCTCAGGGGAATTCTACTGCCCAGAAACACTCCCTTCTCCCCAACTAAGGCCCAAACAAGGGAAAACTGATGCCTGAGCGAAGGTCCCTCAAATTATCTCAGGAGCAGAAATTCCCAGCTCCGAGCTCTCCCTGCACAATGTAGTTGGTGAGTGGAAAGACTCCTAGGATGAGAATCAGGAGATCCAGGTTCAGGTTCTTTGGCCTGAACATGTTGGTGGCCTCTCTCAATTGTGGTTTTCATCTTTGCTCAGCCTGTTCCATGAGGGGCATCCTCAGATGGGAATCAAACACACACAATGGAGACCCTCCACGACCAGGGCCCGTCACCCCCTCAGTCTGACACATAGAGTGCTGGAGGGGGTTGCTTTGGAGTGAGGCGCACTGACCCAATCCGTCAGCTGCACCCAGGTGAACAGTTCCTTCACGCCCCCGGGCCTGACACACGGGGGTGACAGGCATACCTCACGGGTTTGTTCTTGATGTGCACGAAGACCTTTCTTGGTGTCTCAAATGTAACAGAGTTCCAAGCTCATTAGTACCCTCATCTCCCATTCTTTCCCAGACAAGCCCCGTGGCCCCAGGGGAAAGGTCAACATCATGCACACTCTGTTCTTTCCCGTGGGGCCCTGGCCTACCGGGTTCCCTTGCCTGTGAAACCAGTCTACCCTTATTCCCATGTTTAAATCCTATCCACCCTTTAGCGCCCACTTCAAATGCCACCTCTTCCATGCAGCCTGCCTGAACCCTGCCTAGCCAAAGCAAACTGTCCTTTTGAACATTCATAGAAGTTCTGGTGCATATATTTCACTCTCTGCTTTGTCTCACCAGTGGGGCATCTTGTCTTATCTCCTCTCTCTGCTAGGAGACTCCCTGTTGATGGCAAGGATTATGCCTCTCTACAGTTACGAACACAGAAGGGGTCACAGCCTCAAGCAGGAGTTTTTCAGAACCGCAAATTCATAGGTCCACCTCAGACCTACTGAATAAAAAACTGGGAATAGGACCCAGAGATCCGTGTTTTGTTTTTTTTTTTTAAGATTTTATTTATTTATTTGACAGAGAGAGATCACAAGTAGACGGAGAGGCAGGCAGAGAGAGAGAGAGAGAGAGAGAGGGAAGCAGGCTCCCCGCTGAGCAGAGAGCCTGATGCGGGACTTGATCCCAGGACCCTGAGATCATGACCTGAGCCGAAGGCAGCAGCTTAACCCACTGAGCCACCCAGGCGCCCCGAGAGATCCGTGTTTTAATAAGCCCTCCAGGAAATTCAGAGGCTTGCCAAATTTTGAGAACCCCTGGAATAAGGGTTTACTGAATGAATAAATGATTGAATAATGAATTAAAGGACAAGTGCCATAAAAATGTATGGGATAGGGATGCCTGAGTGGCTCAGTGGGTTAAGCCTCTGCCTTTGGCTCGGGTCATGATCTCAGGGTCCTAGGATCAAGCCCCACATCGGGCTCTCTGCTCGGCGGGGAGCCTGCTTCCTCCTCTCTCTCTGCCTGCCTCTCTGCCTACTTGTGATTTCTCTCTCTCTGTCAAATAAATAAATAAAATTTTTTAAAAAATTTTAAAAATTAAAAAAATGTATGGGATAACAGTAATGATGATGACCAGCTCTGATAGCCTCAGTGATAAAGCAGGACCTTTACTTCCCATCTGATGGAGGCCTGGGAATGACTACTGCATTGGTTATGACTAAAAAGACATGGAGAAAGGGAGTCTGGGTAAGTGGTGTGTGTGCATGTGCATGCACGTGTGAGAAAGTCTTCGGTCTACAGAAGACTCAGTGCCATAGAGGTGAGCAGGTTGGTGGAAACGCCTTTTTTGCCTTTATCCCCTGAGGCCATCTCTGTAGGCAACTGTGGTTAAAGAGGTACTCTGACAGAAACTCTGCCAAGGATTTCCTGGAAGAGACTTTTTTTCTTCCACAGGAAAGAAACAAAAAGAATAATGCAAAGCCCATTATTTTCACGTCAGGCAAAGTTTAGAGACAATTTGAGGAAAATGGGTTCAAAGTGACCAAAATTCAGTTCTGATAAGAACTGAAGGGGCTAGGGCGCCTGGGTGGCTCAGTGGGTTAAAGCCTCTGCCTTCTTTTTTTTTTTTTTTTTTTTTTAATTTTATTTATTTATTTGACAGATAGAAATCACAAGTAGGCAGAGAGGCAGGCAGAGAGAGGAGGAAGCAGACTCCCCGTGGAGCAGAGCCTAATGCAGGGCTTGATCCCAGGACCCTGAGATCATGACCTGAGCTGAAGGCAGAGGCTTTAACCCGCTGAGCCACCCAGGTACCCCAAGCCTCTGCCTTCTGCTCAGGTCATGATCCCAGGGTCCTGGGATCGAGCCCCACATCGGGCTCTCTGCTCTGTGGGGAGCCTGCTTCCCCCTCTCTCTCTGCCTGCCTCTCTGCCTACTTGTGATCTCTGTCTGTCAAATAAATAAATAAAATCTTCAAAAAGAGAACTGAAGGGGCTTATCCCAACACTCATCTTCCCGCCTATCCATACATCAGGCAGAGGTCAAGACCCTGAGGAGGAGGAAAACCAAAGAATTACAGAGGGTGGGGTGGAACACTTGCTGGGCATCTCCTGACCAAGTACCCATTTCTGGGCACCAGTGAGGACACTTTTGCTTTGACAATGTCCGTCCCTCCAGAACTTGGAAAGCATGGGCCACCTCACAGAATGGCGAGTCTTTCCTCCTCATCCAGACTCTGTTCTCTGGCCTCCTCCTTTCCCTGAGTGACCACAACCAGAGAGAGAATTAGCCACCCAACAGCTCCTCCTCTGGCTTTCTTTAAGCCCTTGGGTGAAGTGCCTGGTTCCCAGGCCGCCTCCCTGCCATTTGGGTCTCCCAGGCCCCGCTGCCCGGCCCTGCTGCCCCACCCGCCCCTGCCCCGGCGACGGTGACCCAATTCTGGTGGCTACTGAGCCTCTGCCAAAAGCCCAGGAGGCTCTGTCAATCTGAGACGAGGCCATCCGCAACACCATGTTTCTGCAACTGATGCCGCCTGGGCTGGGCCCCAGAAAAACCAACCGCAGCTCTGTGGCTTTCGGGCAGCCCAGCTTCGACTTTTGTTTTAACAAGGGGTGGGAGGGAGAATTGGAGCCCTGCCGTTATCTGCATTTAAAAACATTTAAACACAGTCTGTTCACCTGCTTGGCACTTTGTGTCCTCTAGGAAGTCCCTCCGCCCGACCGCTTCTAAAACAGCAACAATCCTGCGTTGCTTACATTCACGGAGGACTGGTATAGATACCCCAAGCCCTGTCTTCTCCTTGCAAAGGGACTGTACACTTGACTGCCCCTGGATTCCTTGGAAAGGCAGACGAGCCAGTCCTCAGTCCTCGAAAGGGAAGGATAAGGGGGAGGAGGGGTCCTTTTTGGAGGAACCACTCCCACTGGCTACAAGATACATTTACAGTCAGAGGGACAGACTGCCCAGCCGAGAGTCTAATTTCCTTTTCATACCAAACAATAGCCCTTCCAGCTGCCTACTGACCACATCACCAGTGTGCAGGGAGTGGGGAGATCAGAGAGAAAAAGGGGAGAAAGGAAAAGGATGACGGGGCCAGGAAAAACACATTTTGACAAACCAGCCCAGTTTGTTTCCAAATGGAGGGAGTGATGAGGGCTTAGAACTATCTAGGGAAAGAGGCTACCATTTCTCCTCTCTACAGACAGGTGTGAGAACCAGCGTGCTGCTGGTCACCTAGGGACTCTCTGACCTAAGGATTCTCCTGTCCTCCCATTCTTTGTCCAGCATTCTGTAGTGTCTCATCCAAGCTTCGAGAAGATTCAAGTACAAAGCAAGTTAGTGAATTCCTTGAACCTGGCTGGCTCCCTGAAGATTGTGCTGATGTCACCACCCTTGTGCAAGTCTGAAGGTACACGTTCATGGCCTCAACCAAACCAGTGGTGAGATGAGGACTGTTTCCACACAGCAGTTAGCTGAGAGTAACAGGGGGAGATACACCGGAGAAGCAAACCTCCAGACATGTCAGCTTGAGCTCTGGGGAAGAGACAGAGGGGGCTAAACCTCTACAGTCTCCCTCGCTCCAGGAGGGCTCCGTGAGCAGGGACCCAGGGGAAGGTGATCCCTCTGACAGGGACCAGAAACAGAGGCAGCGCCTTGATGCTCTGTAGGGAATTCTGGAAGCCTTAATGTTCTTACAAGAAAATGGCATTACGGCTATCTACAAAGACTAGCCTGGCATTCACAGTGGCTTGGTTGCTATGACCTCTCTTTGCAAAGATGGCAAAGCCTGGGTGTCTGGGCTGGCCCAGGGAAGGACGTGAGTTGTTACTGCTCAGCACACACTGGAGGGGGCATCAGAGGGAAGCCCAGGCAGGAGCTTCTTCAGCAGACAACCACAGCCTCTTCAGAAGGCTCAGACCATATTCTCTAGAGCCCCCCCCTTTTTTTAAAGATTTTATTTATTTATTTGACAGACAGAGATCATAAGTAGGCAGAGAGGCAGGCAGAGAGAGACAGAAGAGGAGGAAGCAGGCTCCCTGCTAAGGAGAGAGCCTGATGTGGGGTTCGATCCCAGGACCCTGGGATCATGACCGGAGCCGAAGGCAGAGGCTTTAACCCACTAAGCCACCCAGGCACCCCCATATTCTTCAGTCTTTAGCCTATGAGCACTCCTTCTCTACAGAGCAGCTGCTTCCAGACCCAGCAACAGATTTGACTCACAACACTGTCCCGGGGAGGAGAAAAGGTGCCCAGCCCACTGCTTCCCAATGAGCAGAGCCAGTAACCGGTAGGTCCCTGGGGTGCCGAGACCCCGGGGGAGGCAAGGACTTACACCAGAGTTCATAGTAGTAGTTGCAGCACTGAGACTGTCCACAGCAGTGTCCTGTGTCACAAATGTAGCTCTGATTGTTGGTACCCACACAGGTTTCCTTATCCTTAAAAAAATAAAAATAAAAATAAAAAATTAGCATATGAAACTATGGCTTTTATTATGTTTTTTTAAAGATTTTCTTTATTTATTTGAGAGACAGAGAGAGTGAGAGAGAGCATGAGAGGGGAGAAGGTCAGAGGGAGAAGCAGACTCCCCGTGGAGCTGGGAGCCTGACGCGGGACTTGATCCCGGAACTCAAGGATGGTGACCTAGGCCAAAAGCAGTCGCTTAACCAACTAAGCCACCCAGGCGCCCGAAACTATAGCTTTTAAATGCCACTTTTCCTCTCATCCCTTTCTTGCTGGTTATCTGCCCACCCTCCACCAAGACGGTCCAAACCAATGTTCATTCTGTGAAGGAAAAAAAAAAAATTGAACCCAAAACAACAGCAGATTGAAGAAAACAACAAATGTTCATTAAAGGGGGAAGAGGATCCCGCACACAAAGACTGGTAAGAGCAAAGTTTTCCTCAGACAGGAAACAGATGCCTCACTTTCTTTACGTCCAAGCAGAAACACTCCATGTCCCAGTGTTCCACTCAGCCGGTAAAAAGATGCTGGTTCCCGTGTAATTAGCAGTACATTTTAAATAAAACCAGCTTTTCTGTGAAAGTTCCTGGAACAATTAACGCAGTACATATTCTAGGATTAGCATCGAGTCAGTCTTCCTGTCCTTCAAAACACACACTGTTCAAGGTGAATTACAGTGTGATTCCAAAGAGGGCCGAGATAACTTGCCAGCAAAATTCTTCACTCTTAAGAAAAGGGGCGACCTGCCCAGCTGACCTCATCTGATCTCAATTTGCTAGATAATTTTTTGTTTATGAGATGATCTTGACTGGACCTAGGATTCACACTGTGCCTTGTCAGGAACAGTTCCAGAACGGGCACTGCTGAGTAACCGCCCCCACAGTACGCCAAATTCTATTCACACCCCTGGGGGGATGGGGGTGGGGGTGAAGACGTCTTTTGACATTTCACATTTAAGAAATGAGATATCCCACCGGCCAACCTGAACTTCAACCCCACGTGTACTGTGGACCCCGCCACATACGCTGAGACCTCTAAGACAAGAGCTCCATC